CACATGCCGCTTTGGGCATGCATGCCATAGGTTCGCCATTACGGATCTAGATCTTGTTCAGTAGGCTTGCTGTCATAAGCACGTTCAGATACCTTCTGTGGAGGATTCTTTCAAGTATAATCACACTTTCATCTTTTTATAGAGTGCTGCATATCAGCAAGAGATGTAAAGTTGGCTTTATTTGAACTTGATGGATTTCCCTGTGACAACATTGTATCTGTACATATATTTTTTGAGATTTTTTTTTTAATCCTGCTTTTACTATTTTTATAAATAACTCAAAGTAGTGAACATGCTCAACACTACTTCCTCCTCCTATTTTTCCCCTATTATTCCCCACAACAATAACTCTGCGAGGTGAGTTGGGGTGAGAGTGAATGACAACCCGAAGTCACCCAGCTGGCAGAGCCACAGTGGGTCAGTCCTTTGCTGTTTTCATAGCAGGCCAGATCTAAGCACCCCTTAGTGCCTTGAGTTTGACACCCCTGTGGTAGACAAATCTTGTGACTCATAGTGGACTGTATTAATTTTGTGTGAACATCACTCTAATTTCCTTTGAATTTGGGCAGAATAGCATATGAAAAAATACCTAGCTATATTTTGTTTTTAATGGCCTTTTAAACTTGGCACAGTAGTCCTTGAGTTACAACCAGAATCGAGCCCAAAATTTATGTTGCTCAGGGAAACATTTGTTAAGTGAGTTTTGCCCCGTTTTTACGACCTTTGTTGCCAAAGTTGTTAAGTGAATCACTGCAGTAGTTACATTAGTAACACAGTTGTTAAGTGAATCTGGCTTCCCCACTGACTTGTCAGAAGGTCACAAAAGCTGATCACATGACCCCAGAACATTGCAGCCATCATAAATATGAGGCAGTTGCCAAGAATCTGAATTTTGATCATGTGACCATGAAGATGCTGTAATGGTCATGTGTGAAGAATGGTCATGAGTCACTTTTTTTTTAATTTAATTTAATTTTGTTTTGTTTTGTTTATTTTATTATTTTATTTTATTTTATTATTTTATCATTCATTCATTCATTCATTCATTCATTCATTCATTCATTCAAATTGTATGCTGCCTTTCTCCGAAGAATCAAGGTGCCTTACCGTTGTAATTTTGAATGGTCACTAAATGAACTGTTGTAAATCGAGGACTACCTGTATTTGACTGTTTTGAGGAAGTTTAATTTAAAAATTACCCTCAAACTTTTTGAAGCTGAGATATTATCCTAACTCTTACAGAGAGCATAATTAAACCAAAGTATTAATCATCAAATATTGGAACAGACGCAGTCAAAATTCCTAGGAAAGCTATTTCAAGAAGTGAAATTAATGTTCAGTGTTGCCTGCAGGTAGAAGCTTACAAAAGTCACAACAAGGGCAAGGCTCTGTGTGTTCAAATGCTGACTAATGTTTCATTTTCATCCTCAAGGTTTGACATAGTTAATATTAATAACTAGGATTCCTCCTGGAATCTCCAAATCGAGAAAAATAATATGACTATGTTTTTTGAGGGATGCCCTTGTGTCAAGATCAAGCATAAGAAAAATATCTTTGATATAGAATTTGAATGCAATCAGAATATAATAAATTCTTCTCACTCATTTGGTTCATAGCAATGCACACTTCAAAATAGCATTGTATTAGATCAGCTTATAAGCAATAAATGTTGGTGAGTACTTACCCATATTTTTCAAAGTATAAGATACACCGGAGTATAAGATGCACCTTAGTTTTTGGGGAGGAAATTGGGGGGGGGGGGAAATCTGCCTACCAGGTATTCATCTGGCTAGTGTGCTTAACCTGGTTAGCTTTAGCACATTAGTTTGCTCGCTGGTTTTGAGGTTGGGGCTAAAAAACAGCTTCTAAAGCACAGCTGATTGTCGGAGGGAGCAGCAATTAGAAAAGCAGGCAAAGCGTGGAAGATCGCTTCACTCGCATTGGGGCTGAAAAACAGCTTCAAAAACACAGCTGTTCGTCGGAGGGAGCTCCAGTGACTAAAGCAGGCGAAGTGGGGAAGGGGTAAGAGAAGGCAGCAGCTGTTCCGAGTAGCCATTTTGGGTACGTCGCGTCGTATTTTCAGTCTCCAAATGCATTACATTTTTGGATAGCGATCAGCAGCAATGTGCTTTGGCTATCCCCGCACCCTTGAAGGGCTCTCAAACGGAGTGTTTGGAGGCTAAAAACGTGATGCATGGAGCCCAAGAACACAATCTCTGCAGCCAGAAAGAGGACACGTGGAGGCTGAAGGGTGGGGGACGGTGAGTGAGCGGGGCTACATTCGGAATATAAGACACACCCAAATTTTCAGCCTTTTTTATGAGAGAAAAAGCGTGTCTTAACTGCAAAAAATAACAGTATATTATTACAATACACCAACAGAACTGGATGTAAAATGTACTACAATTCCTTACACGGCAAGGCTCAGCCCATCTAGCTATGGAAACATTGGTAGCGTTAAATTGCGAACTCATATTCTATTTCATTGCAACTTCTGTCAAGAGTTACTTGTATGTAAAGTATGTAATGTATGTATATGTAAAGAGTTACTCATCCCCTTCTAATCTCATTTCGAGATGGACGGGGGAATTTTATGGTCCATTTTTACTGGCAAGTGATTCTTACCTATGCAAAATTTGTTTTTGCAACTTGTAAAACTTACAGAAGACTCAAGTGTGGTGTAGTGGTTAAGACAAAATTGGGACACTTGAGTTTCTAGTCCTGCCTAAAGCACAAAGCCAGCTGGGTGTCTTTAGATAAATCACTTTCTCACTTCTAGGAAGAAGGCAGTGGCAAACCATTTCTGAAAAACCTTGCCAAGAAAACTGGAGGGACTTGTAATGGCAGTCTCTGAGGAACAAACATGTCTGAACATAATTTTAAAAAAGCTTGCACACTATTGATAGCAAAACAGTGTGCAAGCATTTGTGTATTTTTAAATCTTGTATACCTTATTTTACTTTTGTAGGTTTTAGTAAATCTTATTTAATCTGGGTCACTGATGTGTAATACAGATTTTGATGTAGAAATCAAGAAACTACCAGTATTTAATTGATATGAGTATATAACTAAAGCAACATCGTTGATTAGAGAGCAAGATGTCTTAAAACCACAGTATTATAGCAAAATAATTGCCCTTTATGCAGTAGATGGAAAGTGTGCCTTTCCTTGTAGTGTAGGGGTGTCAAACTCGATTTCATTGAAGGCCGCATCAAGGTTGTGTTTGACCTCGGGGGGGGGGCAGGCATTGGGTGGGCATGGCCAGCTCAGTGTCACTCGTGTCGGCGTCTGTGGTGACCTGAGCGCTCTGCCAGCGAAACAGGCTCCCGAGCTCCGTTTTTCATTGGCAGAGGCACCGGTCCTTTGCTGTTTCCAGGGCAGTCCCGTGGGCCAGATCTAAGCACTCACGGGGGCAGATTCGGCCCCCGGGCCTTGAGTTTGACACCCCTGTTGTACTGTATAAGTAGTGTAGTGTATAAATAAGCAGTGTACTATTTGAAACAGTTCTAGGAAAGAAATCAAGATAGCTTACTAATGTTGACATTGAAAGTTTATCAAAGTTCTGTTCCTCAGGCTCTTCAGTTCAAAGTATCTGTCAAATGTTTTCTTCTTTGCTTCCTCTTACCACTTTGTGCAAACTTTAAAATTTATAGGAAAATATTTTCAAAGTCTTTGTGAAATCTCTACTAAAATTCAGAGTCAAATTTTTTTGTATGGCAGTGTGAATATGAATGAATATATACGCATTCATGAAGAGAATTTAATTCGCAACATTTTGAGATGAAACAGAATTTGGCAGCAAAGATGTCTGCCTAAATCATGGAAACCATGGCTCTCATTCTATTTTTCTGCCAGTGGAACAAAAGTTGCTGATTGAATGGACTGCCTTTTTTCAGTCTGAAGCCTCCCAAATCTCTCCTCTGATCTGAAACAAATTGGGAATACATAGAATATGTGTGAAGAGCAACAACTCTGTTGCTTCATATCATATTGGATAAAGTCCTTAATATTATTGCGGTTGGTGAACTAATGATTTCTTCACATGAATGCATTTAAAACAAGTTAGCCTGAGTAAAAACGATGAATTAAAAACATACATATATTCTTCATTTAGGAAATGAAAGGCAGGGCAAAAAAACAAAAACCACCACCACCACCACCACCTCCACCTCCTCCTCCTCCTCCTCCTCCTCCTCCTCCTCCTCCATCATTATCTCCATCATCATATCACAAAAACTGCTGAAATAATGGGCTCTCTCAGTATTCACCATATTGTCAGAAACTGAATCGCAAATATGTGAAATGCTCCTGTAAACGTTGCATGTATGTAGCATCTGTCCTAACAGAACAACTATATTTATTCTGAAACCAAAAATACCCTAATGATATTATCAGTATTCACTTCCATTTTTCAGCATGCTTTAAAGAATGGAGAACTGATTTGTTACAAGACAGTCAATAAAATCTCTAGAATATTTAATCCACAGTGAGAATAACAGTGAAAATCATAAAGTAAAATAGTGGTACTCTCTTAAGGATAAAACAGTACCCTGGACCCAGGCTTTGTAAATCATGTCATATAGATTAAACTTCTATTTTTGTTAGTTAAAGAGTAACTCTGAGAGTTCAGTTTCAGAATAAACTGAAAGCAAACAAGATTGTTGTCACAAAGAAAAAATCTATTTTAGTCTCCTAGGAACTTAATTCAGATAGTCGCTATGCAAAGGCCATGAGAGAAATAATACTTGGGGAATATTTAAATAGCATCCTATTTCTAACCATTCTTAGTTTTTGAATTCAAAAAGTAATCAATCTTGTGGCTTTGTATGAGCAAACCAGCATTTAAGTGTTACCAAGTGTAGCATTGCGAATTTCCATTTTAGTTGTGGTCCAAGAATATTGTGAAGAGGTTATACTTTGAATGATTTAAGTTTTCATTTAATTGAATGATTGAAAAAGAGAAATGAAATACCTTTTTTCCTTTCTTACTTGTTTTGTAGACAAGAAAAAAAACACACGAAGCAAAGATGATTAATCTGGGAACAGAATTATAATGGTAAATATTCTATTTTATGTAATTTTTCCATTTAGAAAAATGTTTTATCTTCTTAACTTATTATCGGAATAATCTTCTTATGCATCTGGGTTAATATAGGATGGAAGAAAATCTGTTGAGCCAGAGGATTTTAAGAGCAGTGCATTACAGAAAAAGGGATCATATTTTAAAAGCATTCTAATTAATCAGCTATTTGTGTCACATGTCCTCTCTAAACTTTGCTTTTCACTTTTATATTTACTATGTACTTAGTTGCACAGTTATATAAACTAGATTAACTTTCAGCTAAGGTTAGATTTTTCAGGTGTGGCTGTTGGGATACTATCCATCCATTTATTTATCCAAGTACTGGACTCCCACTGATGTTTTTAAGGATAGAGAAAGAAAAGTACACTATAAAACTTTCTTCCGATAGAGAGCGATTCAATTAAATTTGTCTCCCTCAGTATAGTATAATTTGGAAGTTAGGAGGAGCAAACTGCTGAGAGGGGATATATGTTTCTTCTAGATACAGTTATCTTAAAAGAATATTTGTTTCATATGTGAGGGAACAAAGGAAATAGCATTGCCTTAAAAGAAAAGACATAAGTTAGTGTATATGCATCTGTATTCAAATATTATTTAAAGTTTTAAAATGTGTTGCCAGATTAATTGGGGCAACCCTTAATCTGGCAAAATATTTTCGTGCGTGTGTGTGTTACAAACAATGATGTATGATCCTGAAGTAACATGTTTTAAACTATAACGGAGAAGTGGCGATGAATCAGCATGAATGGTATGAAAAATTCAGTATTTCTAAAAATAAACTAAGATATGAATTCCTGTCCTGTAAGACAATTATATGCAAATGTTCTCTCTCTGATCTCCCTTAGATAACTATGATATAGCACAATAGATGATAGGATAGAGAACTTCCTATTTGGTCTAGCCAGGAGGACACTAGCTTGAAAGTGGTTAACATGGAAGCTAAGAAGATAAAGGGGCCGAATCAGTGAATAGGTAGTCTTCACTTAACTATGTCACTTGGAACTGAAATTTCCATTATTAAACAATTCAGTTGTTAAGTATGAGGTCATATGACAGCTTAGTGGCAGCAATCCTGACACTCTCTCTTGCTGTCATTAAGTGAGAATTGCAGGTCATTCAGCAAGGATCTCCTTGCAACTTGCTGCTGGGTTCCAACAAAGAAAGTCAGTGGTGAAACCAGCTGGAAGTCAAAAGTCCTGGTCGGCTCACAAGCACTGAAACACGTGGCTGCCCCTGGGAGGATGTTTGGGTGGCGAGGATGAGCGTAGCAGGGCTAGGTTGACTGATACTGGGTGAGGGAGGGCATGAGAATAACTGATGAGACGTATGGGTGTGGCAGGGCCGAAGTGGTTGCTGCCAGGGTACGTGTGACCAACACGGTTGCTGTGGGGGTGGGAGGAGAGAATGCAAATGATTTATTGCAGTGACTTGTGACCTTCCCTACCAGTTTCTCCATTGACTTTGCTTGTGGGAAGCTGGCAGAGAAGGTCTCAAATGGTGATCCCATGACAGGACGCTTCAACTTTCATAAGTGAGGACTGGTAAATGTCTGCTGATTGTTTAAGTGCCTGAATCTTGATCACATGACTATGGGGATGCTGTGACAGTCATAAGTACAAGGGCTGGCCATAAAGTTACTTTTTCAGCCCTGTTGTATCTTTGACTCTTTGCTAAGCATGGCAGTCTTTAAGCGAGAACTATATTTAAAGAAGAAATGATATGATTTTACTTAATTAAACCTAAATTGTTTGTGACTGGATGGACAGATAGCCCAGCTGCAACAGAGTAAAAAGCCTATTTATCAAAAAAGAGTCTCTGGACAAATATATTAACTTTTGTTTCTTGTTTTTTTTAAAAAAACTTCATTAATGATTTAACCTTTCATCAACCTGACCCCAGAAAAAAAGTTGCGTAAAAGGGGACAAAAAAGAACCAAATAGGGCCACAATTTGGAAGCATATTTAAATCTATCTAGAATCTGAAACAGCTTTAAAGTTGTAAATATTTAATTTCAGTATGTTTGCCTGAAGAGAAATTAAGTTATTGAGAACAACTACTTTGTTGATGTGCCAGTATGACATCTCTAATAAATTTATACTTTGAGGAAGATACTTGCCTCGGAGTTTTAATTCTGTTGGGGGAACCCTGACATCTAAACTGAATAAAACAACCCTTAGTGGAAGAATTTGTGAGGATTTTGCTGTTGTGCTAATTTTTTAGTCAAGTTATTCCCACAGTTTTAAAAACCATTAATCCCAAAGAATTCCCAGGATTCCCAGTAAAATTTTATAATTTTTCAGTATAAAATCTAGCTACCAAGTCCCCCTTCTCTAAGAATTAATAATTTAATAATATGAAATATTTGCCCAAGACTAAGTAATTTTTTCCACTTCATCAAATACTTGCCATAAAAATGACTGAGTATTGTCACCAGTTATGCTAAAGTGTAATAATTTTATTAAAACTTTTCCAATACAAGGGTTGTGATTAATGTAACGTAATTTTAAAGGAATGAATTATTTTATAGTTTGTTCTTGATGATTCACCAAGATATTAGACTACATATTATATAAATAATATATATAAATGTTTTTATTTTGGCTGTTCACCGCCCTGAGCCTGAAAGGAGAAGGGCGGTATAGAAATTCGAATAATAAATAAATAAATAGATATTATAAAGGGTTTGCAAGTGACTCATAGAATTCAGATTCAAGATCCCTTCTTATGTGAATTTTTTAAAACTTTGAAAAGTATCTATTGTATTTAATTTAAAAGTTCTATATACTATTTCAGGAAATTTTTTTTTATTTTAAATAATTTACTGTAGACATGAAAAACTGTTCAACATTGTTAAATATTCTGGATTGGAACGTAAGAATTTATTAATCTTTTCTTACTAAAAACCAGGATGGAATATATGACCAATCCTTCCTCTTCTAGATATATTTAGCAAAAACAGGAGTTTAAGCAATAATCAAGTGCTAATCCACAAATTCTCAATTTATCAATTGTATGTTCGCTCTTACTAATTACAAGCACACATTTTTTTAAAAGAAACTTGTTCAGACTTGCATAATCAAAAGTAGGAGTGTTATCAAAACTCAGTTGTGTTTTTTGGTGCTCTGGCCAACAAAGCACACTTTACTTTGTATGCTTTTTTTGTACAAACCAAGCAGTAAAACCTGGAACACATTTTATGAGAAGGTGACATAATTCTGTCTAAACCCTCTTACAATCACAACAGTTTTAATAAATCTTTTATTAACTAGCTTTTATTGGAATGTAGGTTTATTATTTTAGTAGCTTAACAGTATCACAAGATTTTAGAATTCTATTGAAAATTCTTGCTTTAATCCTCTAATTTCAATCCTATAAAGTTTACTGGCCTCCCTTGTGTTAAACATATGTATCAAGGAATTTAAAAGTTGGGTGATTTAGAATTTTGTCAACAGGAACATAAAATAAAATCAAGAGAACTGGTGGCAGAGGTATATAGTTGACAGTGGTTTTTTTTATCTACAATTATTATTATTATTATTTTTTGCTTTAATTTATATGCCGCCCTTCTCCCGAGACTCAGGGCGGTTTACAATGCGTTAAGCAATAGCCTTCATACTTTTGTATATTTATACGAAGTCAGCTTATTGCCCCCACAATCTGGGTCCTCATTTTACCTACCTTTGAAAGAATGGAAGGCTGAGTCAACCTTGAGCCTGGTGAGATTTGAAGTTACAGTAATTGCAAGCAGCAGATGTTAATAACAGTGCTTTAGTCCACTGTACTACAGGCTCCTTTGAAAGATTTAAGATGATGGTATTTATTGAGATGGCTAAATTGCACCCTTTGATCAGAGAAAAGATAATACAGTATCTACGTTTATTGTTGACTAGAAACCCCTTATGGGCTTTTGTGCAAAATAGAAAAAAAAATGAACTTATGATTTATGGTTTTGATGATTAAACAGGATAGATTATAGAAAGAACACAGTCTTTCTTTTTCTTTTTCTCCTATTTTGAGTGAAGATATTCTTTGGAGTTTAAGCAAAAGCAAATATCCAGTTTCCAGTGTCCCATGCTGTCAGATCTTAATTCAAAATTGCCTCAATGACATAAGAAAACATGCATTTTAAACTCTAAAATCACACTTATATACACCAGATATTGATAAAAAGGAAAAAATTATGTTCTTTAAAAATAAGCCTTGTGCATTCTATTATAATATTTCTTGAGAGTTGTCTTAGAACTGAATCTTACTTTGAATGACTTAACTCATACATTTGTTTTCTTTGCAATATCATGGAACTTCTTTATCACTATAATCTTTCAGCATGAAGGACACACACACACACACACACACACACACACACACACACATACACACACACACACACAACCAACCAACTAACCAACTACAGATGTAGTTCCAATGTAACCTGCATGAAGGTACTACCAAGGGCCAGCCTTGCTTACATTTTTGAAATCAAGCAAATTAGGTTCTGCCACTTATCTGGAAAATAGTCTTGGGATAAGAAAAATATTAACACTAATGTAAATGAATATTTTTGGAGTGAGAAGGGAATATGCTAATTTGGTATAAGAAACTAAAATACTGTATTTTGTATTATATGGTATATACGTTTAAAAGGCAATTCTTTATTGGCAGATTGAATTAAGTTGGAGAACATAAATGTGAAGTTATTTCGGAGTAGTTTCCTAAAATATTTGAATTTGTTGAATGTTGGTACTTTAATTTTTACATACTAAATTGGACATACTACCACATAATGATGGGTGAGTCCTGCTTTTAGCCAGCAGAAACCATCTCACTTCCCAATCTCACTTAGAGAAAAAACTGTTAATTTTCCGTTGACTACAAGGCTTGAAGTTGCACAATACTTTTCAGAGTTCAGGTTTTTTTTCTTGCCGTGCTTTTAATGCAGAAACTGGGCTTTCATTCTCAACAGCCTAGATTTT